CTGATTTTGCTAGTTTTGTTCTTAAATGATAATGCCTTGATGCATGGGGATCTTTCTTCATAGTCAAATACTGTGATAAGTTGTTGAGTGATTTGCTGTTTCCTTTTTTTTATTTGTAAGAAGTATTATCATAATCATACTTGAATTAAATCACAGTGAAATCATTATTGATTTTCTACTTGTGAAGTTTTAACCATCTCCATTTCTATGGTTTTGTGTTTCGGTAAATGCCACCACCCTAAACAAATAAACAATCTGTGATTGTTTCAATCAATGTAATCTCCATGCCTTACCGCCACTACAAGCATCATCTGTAATTTTTTCAACCAAAAGCAAGCATTCCAGTTAAGGGAAATTGGGGGTTTCATTGCAGAAAATTTTTTAGAAGTTACCACCGCTACATGTGCCGCCCCAGCTGGTTCTTTCCAGGCAAATACCGTTGGGACTGATATTGCAGCAACTTTCCTGTGGCTATCATCGATCGGAAACATGAATTCATCGATCGAAAATTTGTTGCTGAGGAAGAAGAAGAAGAAGAGGCAAACGGTCAGTCAAACATGCTAAGTCAGTTGGTTTAACGTGCCACATTAACATTTTGTTATTGGAGTAACGATTATTAACGTCGAGTGACCATTTTATAACAAACGATAACATTAGTGACCGATTTGTGATTTTTGAAACATCAATGGTGAAAACAAACACTTACTCAAATATTAATAACCATTGGCGTAGTTTACCCATTATAAAAAGTAGTAAAATGAAATTAAAATCTAAATTAATTGTGAATTATAATTTCAAAAAAATAAAATTTAAATATCAAAATAAAATAAAAATCATATTTTAAATATTAAACTTATAATTTATCTTTTTTTTATTTGACTTGGTATATTTAAAACTTTAATAAACACAGTGAGGGCATATTTTAATTTATTAAAAATTAGTACATAAAAAATAAGATAGGGCATTGCATGATTAACCTCCCTCGAGCTCATTTATTTTATGAAAGATTAATTGCATCAAATGTCTTAAAATTATTACTGATTTTAAATTATTCTTAAAGTTTAAACCTTTTATTTTATTCATTCACGTATAAATTGAATATAAAATATATTTAAAATACATAAATTAAATCATAATTATGTGTCCTTACAACATGACTAACTTAGATCTAATCTATTATAATACATACAAAAAGACTATTTCTATTGTTTAGCTCAACATATTTTAAATCGGATGAGTATGTTACGCTTAACGAGTATTGATGAACACCATTAACGACGAGTATTATTAATTTAATTCATAAAATTTAAAAATTCTAAAGGAGTCATCATATAATTATAAATTAGTTAGAAATTTAAAGGTAAATTATTTAAATTAAAGGATAAATTATACCAGTGACCACCTAACTATTGTCCCTTTTCATTTTGACCACCATTTTGAAATATTGTCAATCAGGTCGCTCAACTATTTAAATGTATTCAATTAAGCTTCTTGCCGTCAATATTTAATCGAGAAACTGATGTGGCAGTTAAAATATTTATTATAATTACACATTTAGTCACTGATACTTATATATTCTATCAATTTGGTCTTAATTTTAATAAATTAAAATAAACTTAACCCTCAAATTTTTCTCAACAACTAGAGTGACTCCCTCCAAAGGAAAGTAAATTTTGGACGTTCAAATGATACCCAAGGGAATTGAACATGCAATTCTTGGGTTGTAGAAGCAATACTCAACTATTGAACCAAAGTAGTTAACTGGTTCGAATTTAACTACATATGTTATTTATGTTGTATATTAGTGTAAATTTAAATTCTAAATATTTTATATATCTTAACTTAAATTCATATATTAAACTAATTTTACATCTTAACATTAAAATTTTATTTTATTTTTATATTAAATTATTAAATATATTTTATTCTTGTCTTAACCTAAAAGTATATTTTATTCTTATTTTAGCTTAAAATATATTTTAATATTTATCTTAACTTAAAAAATATGTTTTATTCTTTTCTTAACTTATTACATAAATTATGTTCTTAACTTAAATTCTTAAATATATTCAATTCTTACCTTAAATTATTAAATATAATTAATTCTTGTTTTAACTTAAAACATATCTTTATTCTTATCTTAACTTAAAAATATATTTTTATTTTAACTACAAAAATGTATTTTATTTTTATCTTAACTACAAAATTATATTATATTTTTATCTTAAATTTAAATATTATCAAAATAAAATATAAATAAGATAAGAATAAATTGTATTTTTTAATTTAATATAAGATTAAAATATATTTTTAAACTAAAATAAGAATAAAATATATTTTTAGGTTATGAAAAGAATAAAATATATTTAATAAGTTAAAATAAAAAAAATAATGTTTAGATGTAAAATTAATGATAAGATATATAAAATATTAAGAATTTAAGTTTACACTAATATACAACATATATAATATATGTAGTCAAATTTGAACCAAGTGTTACTTTGGCTCAATGGTTGAGCCTTGTCTTTTCAACTCAAGAACCATATGTTTGATTCCCTTGGACATCATTTAAGTGGCCAAAATTTTCTTTCCTTTAGAGAGTGACATGTGTCACCTTTTGGTTGGTGAAAATATATTAAATTAAAAATAAATTAAAATAAATTTAATTATCTAGTCGGATGGTGACACATGTCATTACACTTGGCACCATTTGATTTGAGAGTTAAGTATATTTTAATTTATTAAAATTAGGATCAAATTGATAGAATATATAAGTAACAATGACCAAATATGTAATTATACCAAATATTTTAACTGCCACATTAGCTTCTTCGTTAAATGTTAACATCAAGTGACTTAATTGAATGTATTTAAATAGTTGAGTGATATGGTTGACAAAATTTCAAAAAAAAATGATGGTCAAAACGAGAAAAGGGCAATAGTTAAGTGGTCACTGGTATAGTTTATCCTTTATTTTAAATAAGTTTCCCTTAAATTTTTAACTAATTTATAATTACACGTTGAGTCTTTCAAAATTTTAAAATTTTACAAATTAAATTAATGGTGTTTATCGTTAGTTGTACTCATCTGTGCTCGTCGAGAATTGTAGAATTCTTGTTTTAAATCTACATATGTTTTTAGGATGATTTTGCCACGCTCGACAAGTACCGATGAGCATAATTAACGATAAGCACCATTAATTTATTTTATAAAAATTTAAAATTATATAATACTCAACGTGTAATTATAAGTTAGTTAAAAATCTAAACGTAAATTATTTAAAATAAAATATTAATTAGATTATCTTTTATAAATCTTATCTTAAATAATAATTAGATCAAATATTAACCCCTAAATTAAAAAACTCTAAATTCTTTTTTTACTTTGAAGTCGTGTTCCTTGTTGTCATTGTCGTTGTTACTGTCGTCTTCGTTGTTGTGGTTACCTTCGTCGTCGCCACCACTGTTGTCGCCACGTCAAAGCAAGAAAAAAAATAAGGTTTTTAATTTAGGGGATTAATATTTGATCTAATTAGTATTTAAAATAAGATTATAAAAAATAATACAATTAATATTTTACTTTAAATAATTTATGTTTAGATTTTTAGCTAATATATAATTACACTTTAAGTATTTTGTAATTTTAAAATTTTTATAAATTAAATTAATGGTGCTCATCATTTGTGGTGCTCGTCAAATACTCGTTATAGAATTTTACTATGCTTTTATATATATTTCACATCACGTTTATCTTATATTTAAATTGAAACTAATAATTAGAGTAACTAAAAGGTTTAATTAATACAATACTACTAATTTAAAGATTCAATTAAAACATACTAAATTTTAGGATAAATTATGTGTTTAGTATCTAAATTATCAGTTTAAGTCTGTTTTAATACGTAAACTTTAATTTTTTTTCAAAATCATACCTAAAGTTTAGTTTTTATTTCATTGTAGTATCCGCGGTTACAAAAATTAGTTTTTTCTTTCATTTTAGTACCCAGCGGTTCAAAAAATTAGTTTTTTTCATTTTAGTATCTCATTCAAAATTTAACATTAAATTTTGAAAAAAAATTAAAAGTTTAGATACTAAAATATATCAAAACTGATAGTTTTTGTACTAAACTCATTAAGTTTTTAAAGGCATGTACTAAAATGAAATGAAAACTAAACGTTAGGTATGATTTTAAAAAAAAATAAAATTTAAATATTAAAACAAACCAAAATTAATAATTTATATATTAAATAAATAATTTAGCCTAAATTTTAAGTAATCCATCTAGTTTCCGAGATCTACAAGGGGTCCTAATCTTTGTATTGGACTTTGCCTTCCTGGTAACCTTGACGATACCTGATGCCTATGTCTAGCTTGATTATAACTGATGATTGTTTAATAATTGAACCCACTTTTGGAGTAGTTATGCCGTATCCAATTGTCAGCTAACACGATTAAAATATGAGTAAATTACATAGTAAGTCATTGAACAATACTTAAATAATTATTGTGATCATTGAATTTTCAAAGATCACAAAATGATTATTAAATGTATAACTTTCAAAAGCTATAAAATATAGATATCTATTTTGTAACTTTACTTTCAAAAGTTCAATGAGCGTGACCTATATGGCTCTACTATTTCAAAAATTGTTCAGGACCCCCCATGTGAAATTTAATGCAATGTTCAAACTCTCACTTTCTATGTTCAAACATCTTAGAACACTGTCTCCTCTTCTCAAAACATTTAACATGCACCGACAAAAATAGAAAGAAACAAAGAAATTGTATTAGTCCATTATCAGTGATTGTTCTACAGATTTTCATTTACTTGTAGATAACTATGTTGTAACGAGAAGTTTTGGGGGGGATTAATGAGGTCCATGAGCCATCTACTTTTGACCATTTTTATGAGTGAACTTTTGTGGATTATACAATACTTCTGACTTTTTCGACCGCAGATGTTAACTTTTCGACAGGAACTGGCCGGTGGGCATGTTTTCTGAATCAAAACAAAGAGTGGTCCGACATCAAATACCTGGAAAATAAAACATTGGTTATGATCAGAATAAGAACTAATAAGGATTGCATATTATTCAGTTCATAACTTCATACACAACTCCATTCTCAGAAGGCATTCAAAATCCCAATCACATATACTCAACTATGCAAAAACGATCATATCATCTTGGTCTATTTGTGTTTTCCTTTTTCAATCTGAACAAAGCTAAAGAGCCACACGCAGACACACCAACATCAGATAAAAACTGCAGATCTAATCAGAAGAAAATCAGGGAAAAGGAGCCAGAGTCCATTTGGGTTCAACCATGTTTTCTTGCTCCACAAGATTCGACCCGAGATGTTACGTACATCAACAACAAATTCACTTCTAAGTCCTATAGAGTCATGTCACTATTAGTACACAAACCCTAAATCATCAAACAACCAACTAACCCTAAAAAGATGCAATAAAATGCAGCAACATGGAAAGTGTTTTCTTCCTTAATATTTCTGGTAAAAACTTACCTAAAAATTCAATGACTCTTCAATTCCCATTATGACTTGGACACAGGCTTTTGCAACAAAGCAGTCAAGTAAACTTCCCCATGTTTCAAACCACTGGGATCTGTCTTGTTAGCCACTGCCCACTTCACTTTCTTATACCCAGGCTTCCCTATCAAAGGCCAATAAATTTTCTCCAGATCCACCGCTTTGCTAAAGAACCGGTCCACCCACAAATACCCTCCGGCTCTCAACACTCGATCCACATCATAGAACATGAATTCCATCACCGACACCGGTATCCACCGGTTCACGGCCCTCCCACACCGGACCAGATCCATCGTGCCGTCGAAAACAGGGAACCTCTGCTGCAACGGCACGTGTAAAGGCACCAACCCTCGTAGAGCCACGGCCTCATTGTAAGGTGCATTGACGTTCATGGTGGTGGTCAGCATGGTGACGTTGTAGGATTTCTTCATTACGGCGGCGAAGGTTCCGGTGCCACCGCCTATGTCGATGCCGAGACGAACCGCCGAGTTAGCCAATTGCATGAACTGGGAGATTGGAAGATCGAGCTCGGAAGTGAATCTAAGCAATGAAGAGCGTTGAGCGTTGAGATCGAAGCTTGTGGGGTTGTTTTGCAAAAGGCAGGCAAAGGATTTACACGAGTATTTGTTCCATATGACGCCGGAATCAGAGAGGGAAGTCGGGAAAGGAGTTAAAGGCAGAGAAGAAGGCTGTTTCGATGGGGTTTTCGAAAAGCACCGCCTCCGTGGAAGCGGGTGGCAACCGTTAAGAATAAGTGTTTCCTGGAGGTTAGGGTCGAAAGGACAAATCGAAAAGGGAGTGTAATTCATGTACCTATGGAGAAGGTCGGGCTGGTTATGGCAGGAAGAAGCAATGGGGCCGATCTGAGAATGGAGAGTAAGATCTTGAGGTACGACGGAACTGGGTTTCGCCGTCGAGGCTGCAGAGGATGGGTTATGGCGCGTGAGGTTGTTAATGGCGGCGCGTATGGTGTTAAGCTGCCGTATGAGGTTGTCGGGGACGGGGGTAGGAGGCGGAGGTGGAGGCTTGGGGGACTGAACGGTTGAGGAGAGATGATAAAGGGAGAGGTTGTTGGTCGCCACCATGACCAATAGGAGGATGAAATTCAAACCCATTGAATTTTATCCGGTCGTCTTCTACTAAGCTTTACTCATGGTTTTTCAGAACGAGACCGGTTAGCGAACCGATCATATTACCGGTTCATTGATTCAACCGGTCGAATCAGTCCGACCGGTCGAAAGAACCGGACGACATCATAATTATTTAAAAAATTAAATAAAAATATCAAAAATATTTAATAAAAAATAATTTTTTATATCACAAGTCATATTCAAAGCAAGTCATAACATATATAAGTTAAAACCATAAGATCAAGTGAAACAAAATGATTCAAATTAACTACAACATAATATTTAAGGTAAAACATATTAAATAATAAATATAATTATATAGCTATAATTAAAAAATAAATTTAGGGTTAAAAAAATCATAACAAAATTATATAACTATAATTATATAACTATTCTTTTACTTCAATCAAGCTCGAATTTTAGGCTTCAATCGAGCTTCTAATTTTTTTTTGAGTTCAAGCCTTTTTGAGTTCAAGTTTTAATATTATATTTCGAGTTTGAGTTGAACTTGATAATTTTTAGCTTGTGATTTTGAGTTAAGTTGAGCTTACTTTTAAAGTTTTCAAGTTCGAGTCGAGTTCAGCAATACTCGAGTTCGACTTGGCTCGTTTAACAAACGACGTTGTTTGGTTTATTTTTATAAAAAAAACAAAAACAAAATTCCCGGTTTTTCCCGATTTTCCCGGTTTTTGGCCGGTCTGGTTTGAACGGTTCAACGGTTCTAACCGGTTCACTAATAGCGGTTCAACCGATTTAGATTGAACCAGATTAAACAATTATTCCCGATTGAACCGATTAAATCGGTCGGTCCGGTCCGATTTTCAAAACAGAGCCTTTACTTCTTTGCTTCTAACGTGCTTCGATTCTTTAGGTCTTTCGTATTTTTCGATTCTTTAGGTCTTTCGTATTTTTCGATCTTCGTGCCACACCTCGCTTGTTTTCAGAGGTTTAAGCTTGTTTTTAACTTCTCTCACTGACTCCTCCCCTCATTTTCTGGGTTCCATCATGGATTTGTTTTGTTAGGCAATTTTATATTAAAAATCCCCAATAAATTCAAAATTATTTAGAATAATAATCCCTAAATCATTTGCATTGGACGACTTCACATCCTACAAATCGTGTGTTAAATCCTCGTATCCTTCGACATACGAGATAATATAATATGGGTACACTTTTCACGTAAACCAATAAAATAATTAAATAAAATGATCTCGCTTATTGCGAAACACGAGATAGCATTTATGATTCAAAGTATCGCGAGATTTATGGGGATCTCACGGTCTACAAAACGTGAGATTCTTTCAAATCCTTACCATCCCTTTGGTGTTCATAGCCTTATTTAGATACTATTTCTGGGTGGGAACTAATTTTTTAAAATTTTTAATTATAAACGCATAGTATTGCAATTTATTTTTAAGGTGATTATAATATCAACATATATAAGATATTTTAAGCAGTGTAAAAATGACATTGAAATTGTTAGAAATCATGTTTTTGTGAAGGAAGAAGAAAAAAATGGTTTGATAGACATATTGGAGTGTTATTTTTTGCTTGTAAATATGAGTAACATGTGTTGTTAATTAAAAAATAAATAATGCAAAAAACCCGATTTAATTTATATGTGGGCCTGAACAATTGAGACATTTGTTATTCATGTATTCAGGATTTCTATATATAGAGCATAATTTTTGTTGTTCGGTTCTTTCTTGAAGTTTGACCAAATCATCGTCACAAAAAATTTGGGTTGACCATGGACGATTTGGTTTTTTTGTCATAGTGCATAATCTGGTCGTATTGTAGGTTAATCATCAACTTCATCTGGATCCCATTCATTTCCAATGGGAGGGAACTCATATTTATAAACCTTGAATATAGTTTCAAGTAAGTAAACCCGATCAACAAATCTCATGTAATGTATCTGAACAGAAGAATCAACAACAATGGTGTGCTTACAAGGGTATTTGAAAGTTTGAAAGAATCCACACTCGCATGTTTTTTCTCGTAAATTAACCATATATGCATTGTGTTGTATGCCTTTCAATGGGCTCGCAAATTCTGATACACAGAATAATGACATTTTGTGAGAAAAGCATATGACATTCATCGAGTTGGAATGGTACTGGAATGTTTTCTATTTTTTGAGGAGGTCTGGGTGGATTTGGTGGTCACTTTCCATCCAATCAACTGCTTGTCTTCCCAAGGTTGCAAAAAGGGTTGTCAGTCGATAATATGTTGCATTGACAACGGACGTGATAGGCAAATTGCACACTTCCTTTAGTGATGAATTTATTGCCTTAGCCAAGTTAGTTGTCATGTGACCATACCGTCTACCCCCATCAAATGATCGAAGCCATTTCTCCTTTGGGATTCTAGAAAAGTAATTGAAGCCCTCAAAATTCATGTGTCTCAGTTCCTACGTCAGGTCCTCACACTCACGTACGGACTGTGTGTAACCTATCAAGAAAAAGTGGAATAATTAATTTGAAATAATTTTTGTAAAGATATGGTAAACCGAAAAAGGTGAAAGATGTACATATTCGAAGCATCATTAGACGTTCATATTGATTCTTGAACTTCTGTAAATAGTTTGCTACAATATGTCATAAACAGTACCAATGATAAATATTAGGGGGTTGGCAAGACAGTCTCATACGCTGAAGTATGTATTTGATATCAGATCCTCTATCAGAAATAAGATAAATCTCATTATCTCTGTCCTGCATCATATGTGATAGAACATATGTTTATAAGTTCGTAAGGAAGAATTCTCAAGAGTTAATATATTTCTTTTCGACAATTGCGAAGACGATGGGAATATTTTTTGTTGTCGTCTTGTGCAACTGTCAATAACATTATTTGAGTGTATTGACCATATAACCAAGTATCGTCGATTTGAACAACCGGCTTGCAATGTCGGTATACATTAATGTATTGCAGAAAAGTTTAAAAGAGTCACTAAAATTGGCAGACACCTTGTACAACACGATCATTTTTGTACGCTAGGACTGTTTCCAATTTCACAGTTTTTCCCGGAATGTGTTTCTGCATCAGTTTAAGCAATTGCCACAATTCATTGTATGATTCCTTCTATTGGCCAAACAATTTTTGTTGGGCCTGATACCATGCATACCATGCTTTGTGGTAGTCAACTGTGTACTCATATAGCGATGTAAATGAAGCAATATATGTCGTAACTGTAATATGTGGGTTTGATTTGAGCAGCAAATGAAGGCTTCATATAGAACGTGCACATCCAAGTTACGGTGATATTCATTCAGAATGTTGGCGGTGCATGTATGTGGTTGAACGTATTTTGTAAGTTTCTAAAGGTTGTTCATCGTCTTCAACCGTTATACATAAACCCTCAATTACATCACTACTTCTTGTGGAGGCATTAAACGATGTACTTATATGCATCAGTTTTTTTCACAGTTGACGTGACGAAACGTATGTTGTAGTTCTTGATTGCAGCCACAGCTTGTTCTTTTGTTCTAAAACTCATTCGTAAAAAGAGTAAATAAAATTGCCAACTTACCAATAAACAAATCAAATAAATAACGAAAAATTAAAACATTATATTAACCTAAAAACCATTCCAACATAGAGATCACCATCAGTTGATTGTGTTGCTCAATGTGTAGGAATTGGGAAAATTTCAGAGCGTTGAATGCTTCCATATCAATTGTTGTAAAGTGTGATAGTGGCTGGTACTAAGAAATATGCGTTGCAGTATGTGGAAATGTTGTAATAGTGTCGTATTCTTCATTGTCTTTTGCTTCTGGTGGCATGTTAAGGTTTTCTGGTTCTTCATAGAAGGGGCCTAACTCATCATCATCGGGGTCAGGCTCCCTTATTGGTTATTCGTTAGAATGATCCCCTCAAAGTGGAATAGATCAACCTCGTTTAAATCAAAGTGAACAACTGATGCATGTTTTCATCGATCATGAGACTTTCACGAACTGATTCAATAAGATTAACGTCACGCACACTAGTAAAAGAATGTCTCCCCATATGTGTTGAGACGTTATCCGCAGAAGTGATATACCTTGAATATCGTCCAGATGAGAAATCATCGAATGATTTAAACGTGGATTGTTGTATTGGTGGTATGTTCAAATCAAACTCAAATATAGTAACACAAGAATGCCTTGGCATCAAAGACGATGATGTACCCAAATCGTTCTGTGTACGGTGTGTGTTTAACAAATTAAAGTCGTTTATGAAATTTATCGTCAGATTGTCAACAGTTGAATCAAAGCCGAAATCCACTCGTCTCTAACTTGGTACAATGGTACCATCATCAGCATCGGAAAACAATGCATACAACTCTATCGACCCTCCAAATGAATATTGCAAGTGAGCATCAACCATTGTATGCATATCACTATTGTTCTCAACGGTGTATATCGTGTACGTTAATGGTTCTAACGACGTTGGTAGTTGATAGTTCAAGGGTAACAATTTTATACCGCAAGCATGTTGGACATTTTTCTTCACTTCCTTCATCAACTTGTTATACATTAACTTCATTGGTAGCATTATTGTCACAACATGTGTGGATTGAAACATGACACTGAGAGATGCATCACCTATTATTTCGCCATCGTAATATATCAAAGCAGTAAGGATTTCTCTCCTCCACATTTTAGCTGAGTTGTTGCCCGATAATACTGAATTATGATTGTTTTATTACAAGAACCTCGCGGATTGGAAGACACAATTTCCAAATAACGCGAGTTGCAGGGTGTAAGATCTTGGTATCTTGCGTTTTGCAAGATACGTGGTTATCCTAACGTACTATAGATATCACGGGATGCAGGGTGTGATTTTCACTGAAAATATTTTGATTAACTCAAAATAAAATAGTTTAGTACAAATATTTCAGTTTTTAATTTAGTAAAAATAGTTTATTTTTGAAGAACAAAATAAATAAGAGCTAATAATGCCTATGTCCACTAGTTCCGATCGTGGTGGACGACGAATCT